TAGAAATAAAAAAGACACTAATTTATTATTTATATTTAAAAATCATTTATATTTTATTAAAAATAATTCTCCCGATATTTCGGCTATCTTCGATAGTCATCTTCAGGGAAAACTGAAATATAACAATAAAAACTTTTATAAACTCAGTATACTTTTCTAAGTACAGTGGTCTAGCCTTCTATGTGCCGCATATGCTAATGAATCTTTTAACTTATATTTTTACTAATCAGATATCGTTTTCGGTATCTTTTTTTTAACAATCATGTTTTCCATTCTTTATAATGAATTCAATTATAAGTACACATTTATATTTCATTAAATTGTTTATATATAAGACTGAATTCTATACAACCAATAAAAATTGCAGAGAGCTATAATTTTAACATTATGCCTATGCTATCTATCACAATGGGCTCCTGTTTTTAAGGGTTTGAAGGAGTCATGCCTTCAGCAAAATGGAAGTTTTATTGATATATTCATATGATAAACAAAAATGTCTTCAAATTCTAATAATCAAATTTTTAAAAGAGGTTTATAATGATTCATGATTTATATAATTTTTTGACCTTATTAATTATTTAATTTCTTAACCAAGCATTAATGCAAATAAAGTCTCAATTACGTTATAAATATAAAAAATAAAACTTCAGCAAAATTTTTTTTTTATAAAAAATTTATATTTAATTTATATGAAATTGCTGAAATTTTATTAAATTAAATGAATTCTGCAAACTTTGAAAACGTAATTGTGGCTTAATCCAATTTTCATTAATGCTTCTAAAATTTTCTAAACCATCAGTAGCCGCGGCTGCAACTAAAAGAGATAATAAAAAAGTAAAAAGCGTCAAAAACATAATATAAATTATTTAAATTTTTTTATTCAGACTAAATAACTATTATTACAAAACTATTTAATTAATAACTAAACCGAATGTTTGCTTATATCTACACATTAACGTATTTTTAAGGCTAATAAAGTGATGAATGGTAGTTAATGACTGGAGGTGAACTGTAGGTGGAAAATGGGTTATTGTAATTTCGTAAGTTTCGTGGTATATGTTCTCGATGGAATAATGAACTCAAACGGCCCTCAATAAGTTTCTGCAAAAAATCCTTCGTTTGTTCTGCTTGCACTGGTTCGGGATCTACTAACGCACCACCGTAATGTGAGGTCGCATCAATAAAGTCTGGATGTCGATAAACGATGTCGGCAATAATTTTATCCAGCTCTTCATTTGATACATGCTGGACTGGATAATGGCGTGCACCAACAATAGGTGCTGAAATTTGCAACGGTACTTTGTATGCATTACCTAAACTGTGTAGCTCGCCAGCATATTGTAATGGAATCCCAGAACGGTCGGATACTGAAGAAGCAGACACAATCATACCTAAACCATCTCTATTATTGTAGGGATTATGAAAACTTGTGTATATAGTTTTAGGCTGCGGCGGTGCATACAAGTTTGGTTGAGGCTGGTTTGGTTGAGGCTGGTTTGGTTGAAGTGCTTTTTTGGGTTGTGAAGATTTAGAGTATCGGTTAGTATCAGTACGCTTTTCATCTGTTGTAGTTTCTTTAGAAGGCAATAAATATTGACCGGCGTTACGTTTTGTGTAAGTACTTTGTATACTATTTTCTTTGGATTTATCTTCATTATCTTTCATTTCATTTTTCGGTTCATTTTGTTTCATATTTTCTTTTTCAGCTTCTGTAGAATCTGGTGTTGTTGCCTCTACCTCTTCATTAGATTTTTGTGTTTGTGGTGATGATGTACAACCAAAATGACATTGACCTCTCTTATAGTTTGGTTGTAATGTTTCCGGCATAAACTGTATAATTTCTGGCAATGTTAAATCCATTTGCTCACGTTCTTTTTCTAAAAGGTCGTACTCACCTTTAATGTCACGTTTAACAATTCTTGAGTAAAGACGTGATGATGGCACCTTTTTATTTTTGCGTTTAGATTTTTTTGGTTTTGGATCTGCAAAAAGTCGTAAATCAAATAGGCCGCGATCTTTATCCGATAAGTTTTTGTGATATTTCTTCACAAATCGTCCAGGACGCTCTGCACCAAATTTACGTGGTCGATAAAAGACACGTTGTATATCCCGTTTACGTCTTATATTATTAGGTTCATCATACATATCATCATCGACTGCTCTGATTAATTTAAATGTATCAATATTTGGAGCTATTTCCCTTGTATTTTCTATGAAATTGAAAGCATTGGGACTACCAATCAAGCCTAATGTTGGTTTCGTTAGTCTAACATAACGTATTGCGATTGGAGGATTTGAGTTACATTTACAATTCGTTTTTTGACACTTGCAGGGTGTTTCGCGCTTATATACATACCTATAAAGTGGTTTAGTGACACCGCATTGGCCACAATTACAAGAAGAATATGTTGGGTTTTGAGCTGATGATCCAGACGTGTCTTCGCAGTCTTCAAAAGAACCATTAAGTTGAAATTTGTGTGCAATGCTTAGGTAACAATTTATAACTTACCATTTTTCTTTATAATTACACGATCGACTTTTGCAAATAATTTCAAATTTTTTTGGGGTACAGGCTTTGGTGGTTTTGGTTCTTCAACTTGAAAATCAAATGAATATGTAACTTTTGCCTTGGCTTGCACTGGAACATCTATACTATAGCCATATTCGCTTGGTCGATATTTTTTCGTTTTCGATATTTTTGGCACATTCACTTGGTAGTTCAATTTCGATGGGCAATCACAGCTGTCACCGGTGTACACTACTTCGTAAGGTGCACAATATACATAAGTAAACTATTTACATAAATATATGCATTTATTATCTAATAATGGAAAACTGAATTATAATTTGTTTTTGTACACTTACGGCACTTAACCAAAGGCACATAAACCACACCAATTTCATTGAAACCGACATATTCTTTGGGTATGGCGGTCTTGCTCTCGTATGAAGTTAATTCTACTAAGTCAAGAAACGCATCGGTCTTCGCTTTATATAATCTTAATGCTTTTCTAAACTTTCAAAAACAAACATGAACTTGATTTTTATTTGTTCTTGAACTTGGAGTGCTTCATGTTTTGTATCTTGTATATTGTGTTTAAATATGTAATACCCGGTAAAATTAAGCTTTCGCTGACCTTTCAAAAAATTCTATAGTCTTTCTCTCATTTTTCATATTTTTTTAATTAATGCACAACGTGCTTTTTTCTTTCAATAAGATTCACATTTGTTCTAAAAATGTACGGGTATCTCATTGGTTTAGTATAGTCTAGATTTAGTACAGTCGGGTGCGAAATATGAGATTTATGTACTGTTAGACATATATGTAGGTATATATATGTTCCTGGAAAAATGGGGATAACTAATGTTATTGAAAAATCATATTATAGTATTTGCTTTTAAATCATTGTGATATGGGATATATTGATAAGTTTAGTCTTTAAATTAATCTTATTAGTAATATAAATGTAATTTACTGCTACAGGGTTATTGAAGTGTGAGAGAGATAGCTATCTTTTCCCAAAATAAAATTCAAAAGCAAATACAGTGACTTAGTAGTGAAAATTGACGTGACTAAATTTATAATGTTCTCTTGCGACAAATTCATGTTACTTCATTAACGATCAATGAATATTTCCTTCTATATGGAAGTTAAGTTGAAGTGGTAATATAAATGTATACATATATGATTTCATTTATTTGTTGGACAGATATAAGTAAGGAGTAATTCGATTGTAACTCTATTTAAGACAAATCTCGAACGAAAATTTTTGAGATATTGAGAATTTGTCAAACTAATTGAATCGGCTGACTATTCAATATCACAAATATTAAAGAATAAAATCAATAAGAAACATATTACCTGCAGTTCTACGACAAATGTTTTCATAGATTGATTCTACAACTTACGCTATAATATTATCCATACTCTTTTTAAATACATATATTTATATATTTAAATTATTAAATATTATATTAACTAACAATTTTTATTTGATTGATTACTGATAACATTTATGCCTCACTCATGGGGCAATCTCCGCAAATATGCATTAATTCGCTCAAAATAAATGTACCAGTAAAATCCCAATTTTCTCATCACACGGTAGCCATCCATTTCCAATAATTAAAAATCGAATAAGTCCATTATTATATTTTTAAATTCAATTGATCCAGTAACCTTCCTTATTACCAGATCGATTAGAAGACTAAGAAAATAATATATTTTATTTGATTTTCTTTAAAATTATGAAATGTGCATTTACCATTATGTATGGGGTGTATATTACATATTCTCTAATATTTTTTTCAATTACAACTTTGTTATCATTAAAAGTTTAAGATTTTTTATATTGACGTGAGTTGGTAGAAATTGGTTAGTTACAAAACTATCTTAGGTTGTAGGTATTCAGTTTATTCGGTAGCCTAAAGACTAAGCAAAAATTTATTTTATTAAAAATGTTTTAACTAAACTATCAGTAGTTTTTACCATATAGCATGTCAAATCATCCTCACATCAGCGTATGAACAGCTCTATCCGTTGTCACCATAAAACCATAAAATGTTGGTAAATCATTCTGTTTGGGAATTGAAGAAATGGAAATGTTTAGGAGGAATTACATTCCCAAAAACCTTACGTTACCAGAATAATCAGTAGGCTTAACAAAAATATTCAAATGCTTAGTTAATATTTTTTACAATTATACAGCATTATTTACCATATGGCATGTCCTCGAATGTATCATCACATTTGGGTTTTGGCTAAATGTTTAGATTAATTGTGACGCTTTATATCCAGTTCATTGTTTTTTGAGTTAAATAATCTCACAATCGAGAATTAAATTTTTTTAGTAGTTCAATCGACCCATTACTAAATACTAAATAAAAATTTATATACTTCGAAATCTTCAAAAATTATAAATCTCTTCTTACCATGTAGTACGTGTTAGTACTAGTTTTCACTGCTTAACAACTTCAACATATGGAACCACTTCGAAATATTGTTGAAAATTTACAAATATTATTGCCTAAAATTAATTTGATTAAATATGCTTATTCTTACGTACTGTTACTAAATAAATAAATGTAAAATTGATTCCTTGGTAGTCAGTAATTGCTTGTTTATATTTTGATAATTACAACTATTTCGAAGAGATGCAAAAATCTAACTCACCGCTTCGTAACTTAATTGGGTTTTTAAGTAAATTTTTTCTTTCGGACAGATATTCATGCATACTTAGCACTAGTCTGTAAGATGTTCCTTACATGTAATTCATTTTTTTGTGAGATACACGTATTTAATAATTATATTCTAGAACAAAAATCAAGTAAGAAAAACCCATTAGAAATAAGAAAACCCAGCTTATTTTAACATATCTACTTACGGGGAAAGAATTCTTAGTTCCTCAAACTATTCCTCTTGACTCATTAGAACAAAGCTTTAAAAAATTTTGATTTAAAGGCCGAATAATATTTGTTTAATTATCTTAATAATAAATGTAACTAACAAAGAAAAAATAATTTTACTTTAACATATCGATTTTTTGTTCAAATCTAAGCCTACTAATCGAAAAATTTATAAATTAATTTTAAATATACTGTCTACAGGTAATGGAAAAAACAATGAAAGCAAAGGTTGAATTGCTATAAATAAATAAATAATTTTGAATAAATTAAATAAATGTAGTCAGTGTTCCTAAATCCCTTAGACTATATAGTTAGCTATACATATTTAATTAAAATGAGAGAGTATTCTTGCAAACTCATGATAGGTGTTGGTGGCAGCAGAGTTCCTCTTCAGTCCAAGTATCGCGGTTTTTTTTTACATATACCTTGTAATAAAATTAAAGAATTTTTTGTTATTATTTTTTAAGAGATTTTATCTACTGATTCATTGGTATGCATTTATTTATATTACTATTAAGAAACCTCTGCAATATAATAACATGCTCCAATTTCTAATACAGTTTAATTACATTATAATAATTTCATTAAAGTTTATTGAGTTAAATTCTTATAGCATTTTCGATGCCATTATATTATAATTTCGGGAATATTTATTTGATTCATTCAAAATTATTTATAGCATTTAAATCTTTGTCCATTACCTGTAGACAGTAAATTTAAAATTAGACTTAAAACTTTTTCGATTAGTAGGCTTAGATTTGAACAAAAAATCGATATGTTAAAGTAAAATTATTTTTTCTTTGTTAGTTACATTTATTATTAAGATAATTAAACAAATATTATTCGGCCTTTAAATCAAAATTTTTTAAAGCTTTGTTCTAATGAGTCAAGAGGAATAGTTTGAGGAACTAAGAATTCTTTCCCCGTAAGTAGATATGTTAAAATAAGCTGGGTTTTCTTATTTCTAATGGGTTTTTCTTACTTGATTTTTGTTCTAGAATATAATTATTAAATACGTGTATCTCACAAAAAAATGAATTACATGTAAGGAACATCTTACAGACTAGTGCTAAGTATGCATGAATATCTGTCCGAAAGAAAAAATTTACTTAAAAACCCAATTAAGTTACGAAGCGGTGAGTTAGATTTTTGCATCTCTTCGAAATAGTTGTAATTATCAAAATATAAACAAGCAATTACTGACTACCAAGGAATCAATTTTACATTTATTTATTTAGTAACAGTACGTAAGAATAAGCATATTTAATCAAATTAATTTTAGGCAATAATATTTGTAAATTTTCAACAATATTTCGAAGTGGTTCCATATGTTGAAGTTGTTAAGCAGTGAAAACTAGTACTAACACGTACTACATGGTAAGAAGAGATTTATAATTTTTGAAGATTTCGAAGTATATAAATTTTTATTTAGTATTTAGTAATGGGTCGATTGAACTACTAAAAAAATTTAATTCTCGATTGTGAGATTATTTAACTCAAAAAACAATGAACTGGATATAAAGCGTCACAATTAATCTAAACATTTAGCCAAAACCCAAATGTGATGATACATTCGAGGACATGCCATATGGTAAATAATGCTGTATAATTGTAAAAAATATTAACTAAGCATTTGAATATTTTTGTTAAGCCTACTGATTATTCTGGTAACGTAAGGTTTTTGGGAATGTAATTCCTCCTAAACATTTCCATTTCTTCAATTCCCAAACAGAATGATTTACCAACATTTTATGGTTTTATGGTGACAACGGATAGAGCTGTTCATACGCTGATGTGAGGATGATTTGACATGCTATATGGTAAAAACTACTGATAGTTTAGTTAAAACATTTTTAATAAAATAAATTTTTGCTTAGTCTTTAGGCTACCGAATAAACTGAATACCTACAACCTAAGATAGTTTTGTAACTAACCAATTTCTACCAACTCACGTCAATATAAAAAATCTTAAACTTTTAATGATAACAAAGTTGTAATTGAAAAAAATATTAGAGAATATGTAATATACACCCCATACATAATGGTAAATGCACATTTCATAATTTTAAAGAAAATCAAATAAAATATATTATTTTCTTAGTCTTCTAATCGATCTGGTAATAAGGAAGGTTACTGGATCAATTGAATTTAAAAATATAATAATGGACTTATTCGATTTTTAATTATTGGAAATGGATGGCTACCGTGTGATGAGAAAATTGGGATTTTACTGGTACATTTATTTTGAACGAGTTAATGCATATTTGCGGAGATTGCCCCATGAGTGAGGCATAAATGTTATCAGTAATCAATCAAATAAAAATTGTTGGTTAACATAATATTTAATAAATTAGTTTGTAAGCGTTAATGACATTTATTTATTTAATATAATTGATCCCAATTAAGTTTATAATGAAAAGAAAAAGATAATGGTTATAATAATGGTTATTCAAATAGTTTTATAGAATGTAGCACAATTGTTTTTATATATACTTTTGGAATAATTAATAATGGCATCTTGAAACGAAGTATTTATGAATTTTTTTTTAGAATAATGGGTTAATATCGGGATGAAATCTATACTAAAAGAATGAATATTCTCCTATAATAGCTCTTCTAGCAGTTTTGAAGGAGGTAAAGTAATCGATTTACATCAGCTTTGTTACTGTCCAGTGCTTACGTAGTGTAAATCTGATTTTTTCAAAAAATCTGATTTAACCTTAGCTAAAAATATTAGAGAGCAAAAAAAAGGGGATACCAACTATTAGTTACAAATGAAAAGAATACATAAATATTTAAAGAATAAACTAGCATAGCCTTATGATCTAATAAGCAATATTATAAACATATATCAGCTTTCATTAAACTTTCCTCAGGTAATATTTTGAATAATACGAAATTGTAAATAAAGGTTTAAGCTAAAAATTGATTTTAAATTTAACTAGAGTCGTCTACGCAACGCTATGCATAAATCAACTGTAACTAAACAGTTTTATTTAATAAACTTAAGAATAAATATGCATTTGTATTACAAAATTTTTCTGTACAATATTTCTTTAGTTAAAAAAACATAGCTTATGTTAAGGAGTAATCATAATTATTGTCTGCATTCAAGTCAATGGAACTGTAGTTAATAGGTGCGTCCATAGTAATCATTGATATCGCCACGAGTTTTCGTCTTGCGGTAGGAAGCAACACGCCCAGGCTTGTAACCACAATCGACCTCTGTTTTATATGGTGTTTCTTTCTCTTCATTTTCGGCATAATAACGTGAAGACACTTTACGGAACTTAGGATTTTTGAATTCTTCTGCAGCATAACCTAATTGTTTATATGTTAGATGTGGTTGCTCTTCATCTTCATCGTTCTCTTCCTCTTCTTCAACCATTTCTTCTTCATACTCTTCTGCGCACGGTTTTTGTGTACGTTTCTTTAATGTGATAACATCGCTTTTAAGTTTGTAAAGATTTTCTTCTGGAACACTGGAGAAATAAATTTTCTTAAGACCATCAAGAGGTTTTTGTATGAAACCATAGGAAAGTTTTGCTTCAGGCACTCCAATTGATTTGCCTGCCTTCATTGCCAAACCAATGCTAATGGGATCAGCTGCTGGAGAGTCATCTTTTGGTTTTGTTGACACATATTTAACACTAAATAAAAGTTTCACTTTATTAATTAATGAGTTGAAAATATATAAAGCTTTACAAATACTCACTCAGGCATGGGATATGAAGAAGCTGGAACACTGTCTTCATAAACGGGAGAATTGTTACAGCCACAAGAAGGTGTCTTATGCTAAACGGAAGTATTTAAAGAGAATTTATAATTAATTTCGAAATTTCTAACCGCAGTTTAAAATTACAAACACTTTACTCATTTTAGGTTAATCACACGTACAACTGAGTATGATGTATGATAATGATCAGCTTGATATTGATGCAGAATGCGAGTTATTTATATATCGTGAAAATTATGAAATATTTTTACAGTTAATTTCAATTTTTTTTGGTTTTAGTTTTTTGTATGAATTTTAAGTCTTTTTAATTTTTTTTTTTTGTATTAACAAGTTAGTGGATATAGTTAGTCACTTAGTTGATTGGAGGCATAGCGTCACTAATACGTTCCAATACGTTGAGACGCTTATGCATACGATCTAGACCAATGCATTTCGTGTTAATGGCTGCCTCAAGGAATTTACGTTTAAACAAATTATTTAGACTGGCTAACCAATCAAAGGGATCACGTACTTTTTGGCATGGTTTAGGTAATGACGCAGGTTCAACCTTAACTTTGCTACACCAACAGGTATCACCAATTGGCGGCAAATCCAAATCAGTGCTGCTATCATAGTTTTTATGTTTAGGACGCACAATTCGTCGTGAATTGCAGCCCTCACAGTAATCTGTACCCTTCTCATTGCATATACAAGCGGCTTTGACCTGCAGACACAAGATCACAGATATTACACATTATAACATAGAACTTTAGAATATTTTGTATGATAATAATCTTCTTAAAATCGTTTCTTTTTTAACTCTAAGTTTATTATTCACCTGTAAAATAATGCAGATTAATGCTGCTGAAACCAGCAAAGCGCCAAATTTCATGGTGTTAAATTAACAATTATCAACAAAATGTTTTGAAATAAATTTTACATATAACGACTCTGAACAATTCTGTACTGTTTTTTTACTACAAGTTACTCTGCTGCACTTATACAAAAAAACGACTGATCTGGGTCTACCTGATGTTTGATGCTTTTAAATGATTGTCAAATTAGATAAAGTAGAGCTTAAATAGTCTCTGTAGTGAAATGCATTCTGAGTTCTTTCTGCTTTGAGTTTCTGCATAAAAAGAGAAATCATTTCCATGATATGTGACTTTTTGTTCTTCACCTTGAAGTGATAATTAAACTATAGATTTACATATAGCGAGTTCTTATAAAAAGTAAAAACAGAGAACAGTAGTTCTAAATTTCATATTCCAAGAAAGAAATTACTTAACTCACTTTTCTTGTAGCGAATGAATGCTAAATGATCTTTTGATATTCGAACTACAAGAGACTCAATTGCCGCATTTCACAGACAGCAATGTTTTTCATATGTTTTATGCAGAATACGTTTGTTACTACAGATTGTTAATTTAGTTTGTATAACGTTGTATAAAATTCGAAAATATGTATTTTGATTTATTTCATATGGAAAATAATTTATGCATTTATAAAAACGATAATTTTTTATATTTTTTTATCATAGGAAGTTTTAATCTATTATTTTAAATATACGAGTGCATAGTATCTAATTACTCTTTTCTATAGTTAGATTAGATTAAAGTTTTTTTATTTTTGGAAACTTTGAAATATAAAACTTTTACAGATAATTATGCAATTCATAAATAAACCATTTAATTTTATTTTATTAGCGTAGTAAAATAAGCTATTCTTGACGATTATATCGCATAACTTAATAATGTAAACAACATATTCGCAGAAGATCTAGAGAACAAGGTAATGCAAACCAAAACCTATCATTAATCGAACTATAAAATTAATGGGTTAATTTTATGAATTGACCGCATTGTAATTACTCATATTAACAGTTCAGAAGATACTTTAGAAAATAATAGAAATTAATGATATAATTCCAAATGAAAGCACTTTGTAACTAAAATACTGATTGTGTGAGACGAATAGATACTGAGAAAAAGAATCACTAATATTTTCCAGTTTTTCCCTTGACAATTTGACAATAGGTAGATTTATGCCTACCTATTAAATAGTGTACTTTTAGTGCAAGCGCTGTTTGGCACAAAGAGTAGGCAATAAGATCAATCAGTTGCATTGTTCTCATGTGATTATAATATGGATTATAGTGTTGTGGTCGTCATTATGGGTGTGGGCACATGAGGCTATGGTGCCCTTTGAAAAGTGTGGGTGAACTAATATTTCATAATAAAAAGCATACCAATAAAGAAATGAAATGGATCTCTTGAATTGTGATATATTAATTCCGATGATATGGGCATGCGAAGAATATACCATATCAGTTAATCACCTGTAGGAATTTAAACCAGATTCCACATTTTTCAGAATTTTTTTTAGAAAATAAAGTAATAGATGTTATGTGAAACATTATATCATTTAATATTACTTTCTGATCTTCCAATATGCAGTTTCTCTTAACCTGATCTCTATCTATGTTCTTCTTACCATTTCAGAAATTGAACATATAACTTAAATGCTATAAAATGTAATAATTATGCAAAAGGTTTATGGAAGTTTCAAATAATGTATAGATAATTTGATAGGGTTAATAGAAAAATGTGTTTTCTGAATATATAGAAATTTGTGACACAGCATCAAAATGTGAATAAGTTATTGGAATATAAAATATGAGGTTAGTAAATTGTAAACTTTAATATATTGAAAAATAACATTTATTTATTTATTAATAGAAATACTATTGTAGATAGAGTTTATAGCTACTAAAATAGAAAAATAGAGTAGACGAAAATAGAGAACTAGTCGTCAAAATAATCAATATACCAACATTTTCAAATGGCTTACGACTCAAGACGTATAATCACAACGAGATGATTAAAGATTCAGAAATATAAAAGATACTTATTTGCAATAACTTAAGTATTTAATACAATATCCAAAAAGCTTTCGGATTAAACTAAGAATTACCGCAGGTTTTTATGCAGTGGTGGGTTAATTGCATAAGTTATTCTGGGCGAAATAATTTCGAGACTCTTTTTTCATTTATGTGTAAATTCTTTTCTTAAAAAAGTTGTCATCTCCACATATTCATAACAATAATTATGATTTCTTATGTTTATTTGTTAATTGATAAGATCGAACAAACACAGCATGATCTTTATTTTAGAGTTACTCCTAAATGCAGCCCGCTTAATATGGTATAACAGATTTCTATACATGTGAGTTTATCAATCTATCGCCAGACCCTGATAAACTGTCATATAATATTGTTTATATAATATAAAGCTGTTTTTAAAATAATCTCATATTTCATTGATTTGCGACCCATATGCATACGAAACTATTTCAGTTGATATGCTTTGATTATTATCATTAAAAATATTTTACATTATTATATTTATATATTTATTTAATAAAATATATGGTATGAAACTATAAGCTGTTAAATCGGTGTTTACTTTGAAGTAGTACAGTCACCGAGAATTGCATTAAAAATGTGTCATTTACTTTTAAAAGTTTCATGTCAGCTAAAGTCCAATTTTTTATTCAGTATTTAGTGCAATTTTGAAAAAAAAAAATTATTATCAATTGAGTCAACAAATTTTTGAAATTTAAAATAGTATTTATTGAAACAAATAAAAATGTAAATATTAAAAAAATTTTTGTTTTTATGACAAACTAGGTCAGCAGAAAGTATCTAGAGCAATGTTTTCCGCAGTTTCAATTTACTTCACTCTTTTATGATATATAGGTTTAATTTTTCATAAAAATAAATAAATCAAAACATGACTATTATTAAATTGAAAGACATTTAAAGGAGGACCCAACAAGTGTTTTATTCAAGGTCTTCATACAATTTTCGCTTAGTAACACATTCATATTCAGACTGTGATATCAGTGACGTGTTAAGTCACTGATCTTCCCTGGCCACAAGGCGCTTTATGATAAGAATATTTTGTGAGTGAGCTACATGTGAAAAACACGAGTAATTTTATTACCGTTTGTTAGAATATGGAAATGGAACTGTTTATATTTTAAAGCTTCAATAGGTTTACCAAAATGATAACAAGAGCTGACACCACATTCAGTAAAATAAATGTTTATTACTTAATTATTTTAATAAAAAATGAGATTAATTCTTGAAATGTCTGAATTAAAGTTACTCTTTTAACTCACAGAATAAGTTAAGTAATTACTTAAAGAAAATTATTAATTAATATTAATTACTTATGCTTATTCTGTGAGTTTAAAAACTTAAAAGTTAAGGTAAGTAATTACCAATACGTATCTTGTCTGGACTGGATGGTAACGAAACAGTCAATAAGTTTACAAATGGAGGTGAATCACTTCCATCATAAAATTCTAAGCTTTTTGAGGGATACTCAATAATCTGACCGCATAAGAGAAGGCTTTTTTCACTGGGTATTGAATGCACTAACTCCTGTGAACTACCTGTTTTTAAAGATGAAGTACGTCGACACCCGCAGACTCTGTGATATGCAGAATAAAACTTTTATATCACGCACTCTATGAATAAAAAGAATTTTCTCCAGTATCTTTATTTGGTTTTCATTGCATGAAGTTGTGATCTAGAAACAAAAGCCATTGTTAGGATTGTCAATAGTTGTAAATTGTCCAGATTGGCTAAGAAAACTCTCTCAAGTTGTACCTCAATAGAACTTGTAGTAATAATATTACGTATTCGTGTTGTTCGCGATATTATTTTTGAAATTTTTCTACAATTTCTAGTGTGAGTTCTATAATTTCTACTCTTTCTACTTATCAAAAACTTAACAATTTGTTCAAAAATATGAAATATCCGAATTCACAAAAAATATATTCACAAAAAAAAATAAAAAAAAATAAATAAAACCACAAATTTTCATTATTTTCCGGTCCGTTGCCATTCATTTCACCTCCAAACACCATCAAAATTTTATTTAAAATATCATTTACATTTTCAATATTATCATTGCTATGATTCGCCAACAATTTATACAAATGAAAAATATCATCAAATATAAAACGTATATATATCTGATAATATTTTTCAAGTACTACTCATAAAACATAGGTGTCATAATAATCGAGATCATGCCCAGATATAAAGGACATATCTTCCAAAATATTAATAAGTTTCAAAGTTGTCTGTATAGGTCTAACACGTGGTATATTTAGTAATCTTTCATCCATATTCAATTCGTTTACTTTCACCAAGTTACCATTTACATCCAATTCAGGTTCATGAGAAGCAAGTATACCAGGCATATAGTTTAAGACAGTAACACCATTACGACCTTCTTCAGCAGCCATAGCACGAAAATACATATCACGTGCCTTTTTGCATGACCCCATCAATGAACTGTATACAATTGGTT